TAGATCAAAAAGGAAGAAAATTTCAGATATAGGAAAGAATTATGCACTTTGAGGAGCTTAAGTTCGGGAAAAATTCCAAACAAGGAAAACCCCCGAGAGTTACGAAGGATCTTAGCAATCTGGAGGAATCTAGAGCATTGGATATAAGGAAAATTGGAAAAACCTTTAGCATTCCAGGAAAAAACCCCTAAAAAGCAGGTAAAATACCAGCCCTGAAGACAGTGACTAGGATCGTTTCTCAAATACAGAGCTAAATGATGCGCAGATACAATGAACCTCTAAATTTGATGCATGTTGCAGAGCAGCATTTTTAGTTTTTCGTGCAAGAAGCTGTGGATTTTGGTGAGAAAAAGAGTCATATCGCCTCCTGTAATGGTGATATTGGGATTAGTTCACTCCACTTCTTAGGACTATAGATACAAATGAAAGCCTATGGTCTTAGATCCCCACAAGGGTGATTATTATGTTGTAAAGTTCAAGTTAAATTCAATTCCAGAGAAGAATTTGTAAAGGAATTTTGCTTATTATGCTTGTTTGGCCGCGCGCAAGCCATTATGAAATATTTGCCTCCAGAGTCATAAATACTCTTAATTAACGCATTCTTGTCAAATGATGTGAGATGCTGAACAACAAAAATTCAAATGGCTATAAAACCACCACAGTAGGTCTGTAAGCATTGCAGCGTGACACAACCCCCAAGAAGAGGACGTTTTTAGTCCTCTACCTTCTTCTCCTAACAATTCAGGTCCGTGCATTCAAAATCTATACGAAGATTCAAGTCACCAAAATAGGCCAGAAACCCCAGCCGCTAACTATCATATTGTAGATTCCCCAGATTATGTGAGTGCTTTGCCTTATTACAATCAAGATAGTCTATTACTATTAGAATTCTGAGTGTAACATACGCCAAAACTTAGAAGGTTGGAAAACAGGTCTCTTCAGAGTTTTTATCCACTCTTTGTTGCGGCCGAGAATTAGAAAATCTGAAAATTAAGAGTTGATTAAACCTCTACATCCCGACGTGGTATATATAGAAATGCGAATAGATCTGATGGATGCATACTACGATCTTGATTTTATGTTTCAGATAAAACCTAATTAGGTTTCAACATGAAATTCTCGGTTACCTCATGATGCTAAGAATGCAACAACCAAAATAGAATAAAGTTGACTCAACTGACTGCTACATTATTTAGACTGATGGTTTGCTTCAAAGCATACAAGCGAGCAATAGAACTTGAGCCGTATTATCAAAACATCCCACGTCTTGCATTTGGCGAGCAATAATAGCTGGCCTTTGAGCCAATCAGTAACATGCAATACATTATTAGGAGATTAATACACGGCATCCTGCAAAATGAAGGATGCCATTCGACTTTGCAAATTGCAGAATGCCCAAAGCGCGCGACAATATCCAAAGTGAACTGCAGAAATCGTAGAGGCCGTGCAACATGTGTAGTACTGAACGTAAGGTAAGAAAGCTACAATCCGAGTCGATA